CTCTCTCTCTCTCTCTCTCTCTCTCTCTCTCTCTCTCATTCTCTCTCCTCGTCCCTACACGCTACACGTGATCTAAATTACTCGGAGAAAGGGTTGTTATCGTCGCGCACGAACTCGGGATCGTAGTCAACGTCGTTCCCGACCACACTGGAATGTACGATATATCGCTGAGAGCACGACAGAGATGCAAGGGACGATCGACGAATCATCGATTGGCTGATCCATTCTACACACTTCTTCGGGTTTTGATTCGCACACGCTTTCGAAAGCATTCTCGATAATCAATTGTCTAATTTTACTTCGAACAGACTAAGGACTTTACCTTCGAACTAGCCGACTCATCTCTGCAGGTATTTTTACATTTTCTTCGGGAAATGAAGCCAAGCGACTTTTCAACCCCCTTTGGATTTTTATACTTCGACGATATTATCCAAACCAGCGTAAATATAGCTGAAATTCAAATAAAGATATATTTCTTTTCAAATTAAACGATATATAATGGACAATTTTTGAAGGGATTGATATCGTTCTCGAAGCGATAAATTATTTTTCGAAATTATTCTACGGAGAATGCGTAGCGTATTCCTTATTTTTTCTCAGCTCGATTTCAAGTTCCGGCTTCAAAAGTTCTAAGATCGAAACGATGAAGAACCGTCGCATAAAATACGAACCGATTTATGAAATGTTCTAAATAGTAATTTACTTTTTGCGTTTGGTTAAAATATAGGCGAACGTGATCGACTTCGAGATTAAACGTTGAATACTGATATGCAGGAATGTAATGCATAGAATTCCGAGATTCTACGCATCGAAGTTCTTAAATTCGACGTGATATGTCGAGGAAAATTCATCGAGCTCAAGGCTCAACCCTTCGCACTCGAGATGACGACTCCGAGACACCGCTAAAATTTGTTACATCACGTTCTAAAATAATTCTTGTATCAACGAAGTTCAGATCGACAAAATTGTGTAAAAAGTGTAACTGTCGCGCGAGGTCACAAGACTCAATTTCATAATATCGTATAACATGAAAATGCTATAAGTCAGAAAAATTATTTTAGGTTTACAGTTAAAACAGCTTCGAGTGCAAAGGGTTGATAACGTTAGCGTACACCTTGAAACATTATTTCAGATAAAAATGAATTCGCCCAGCTGTCCCAAAAGTTGGATTCTTGATTCTTCGAACAGCGGTACTCGTAACAATTCATTTGATATGTAGGTAGATAGAACAAATCGTAAAATCTCGAAACAAGAGATCGTCGATGAAAATCAACGCGAAACAAATTCGATGCAACATCGGCTACGATTAAATAACGTTGTCAACAATTTTTCTACATCGTTCGCTGTATGCTTCTACGAAAGCGATGGCCTTCTTCCAAACCTATTCAAAATTTCGAACACTTAAAATATTCAGCGAAGGTTTACAATTTACAGAGAAGGAACAAACGGAAAGACTTCGGTAACTTTAGAAAGTCTCGCGACATCTGTCGGTGGATTTCCATCGGAGTTCGTTTCGCAGCCAAACATTTGTAGAATCGCGCTTGAAATTTCGCAGTCGTTGGCCAGTCAACGATTCGTTGCGCAACAGATAGAATCGCGACACGTCGTTTTCCCTGTGATGGCACACGCCGCAAGCAGCTTCCACGAACAGTTCTCGATCCTTATTGAAACGTCCACGGTCGAACGAAAGCGACGATCGAGGCTGCCTCCTCGGAGATCGACGCGGTCGCGTTCGTTCGGCCATCGTCGAGAAGGAATCGAATCGTAAGGAACGCATACTTCCGACACGCGTTTCGCTGCCACTGACGCATTGACAACCTAATTATTGTCTTAATCTACAGAATCAGCCGTTGGAACCCTCGTTTCCGTCCGCGTGTATTCTACAAGGGTGCAAAACTCGTCGCGTCCGATCGATCGATTAAAAATTGTCAAACGTAACCAGAGTCAACTCTGCAACCGAATAAAAAGAAAGCAACAATAAAACCTCGACAAACATCGTTGAAAATCCAATGAACGAACTCGAGTCTCTGATTAACAGGGAACAAAATTAAAAGAACAATCTCCGATCATTCCAACGTTATATTAGGTTGTTGCATCCGAAGTATATACCACGATACTTTCACGGGTGAAGATGATCATCGGGTTCATCGTCCGCAGCTTTCCCGATAAAAGCGCGTCAAATTCATTCGCACCGCGAGCTTGCGACAGCGACGAAACAACTGCGATCGATAAAGGCTATCCGCGTAAAAAGTTCGGTCGCGACGATTCACGGTTCGCGCAAGTAAATGCAGGATGGCTCGGTTTCCACCGGCGTCGAATTATTTACAAAACCGTACCAGCTAAAGAACGTTCGACTTTCCGTCTCTCGTAACAGAGCGAACGAAAGGATCGTCGAAACGAGAAGACTGTGTTCGCTACGGCCGTTCGAACATCGCAAACAAATCCTAGAATCCGGACTCCGGATCCGGAGTTGATCTCGGGTCGTCGAGTAAAATCGTCCGTCTGCAACAAGCTAATACTAAAACCCTCGCGGGCCAAACTGTTCCGCGAGAACAAATCGATCGTTCAATGCCAGCGAAAGCGTGGCCGAAACACGGGCCAGCTCTCAGACTCTCTCGCGCCCCTTATTGTACATCAGTCGCTGTTTCGCCGAAGGCGTAAGTCCCTCCTCGGTCGCCCTCAAGTCGACGAATCTATTGCACTTGCGTCTGCCCGAATAATCTCGGGAAGCCGGCGATCGGCGGCCGGTGCGTCTCCTCTCGGCCTCCCGAAGCCTCGTTCCCGGAGGATTCCCGGTTTCTTTCTCGGCCGGCGAGCTCCCCGAGGAAAGCCGCGCCGCCCTTCTCGTCCTCTTCGTCTTCGCCCGGGCGTCCAGTCGACGATGGATCGAGGCCTCGCGGCCCCGAGACCACGGGATCTATCTACCGAAACGGGTCTTAGCGACCGAGTACCGTTGGTCGGAGATCCATGTGCCGGGACGATCGAACTTCCGGCCGGTGTTCCGCGACTGGCGACGTGAAAAGGCGCGATATCACAGCTTCGTTGGGTCATAGTTCTCGAAGGACCACCTTTGCCTCGCGGCTGTCGGCGAGCACTCGTCCATTACCAGCCGCTGCTTGCTCTCCGTGATCGCCAGACACTTGTCGCTGCTGCCGTGTCTGATCTGCTTCGTCTGGAAACACGAGAGGGATCGTTGATGCAGGTCCGGGAACCTCGCCGACACGGACAATTGAACCGTTTATTTTGACAGTGGCATAAGTCACTTTGTTTTTAAGTCGACATATTTAAGGGTTTG